CGCAAGTTTAAACATGAAAAAACAACAATTTCAGACTAAATATTAAAATAAAATAAGCAATTAAACGAATGATTCACAAAAAGCAGACAACAAGTAACAGGACCAACGTGATCTGGCAAGGGCAGGGCCGATCACCTCCTGAGGGTAGCACAAGAGCTACCCCTGCTACCCGGAACAAGAATAAACTACTCAACTTGGACATCGGGCAGTCGCACATCCAGTCAGTATCTGCAGAAAAACAAACAAGACTAAAGAGCAAGGATTGGTACACCTTACTGAATTAGTAATGACGACAAGTTCCTCAAGTCGTCACTAAAAGGTGGAGCACATTCTCAGAGTGACCATTTTTGTAACTTGTTCAGTGAAAGGTAATATATGTTTTCGTTAACAGCTCACCCGCACGGAGTATCCATCTATACATACATCGGCAAGCCTCCAACATCACGACTAGCAGTATGCAGGTTGAAAGTCACGATTGCTGAGCCTGTTGAGTGTTGTTGTTTTTTTCAAATCCCATGGCACTTTTAGCTACTTCTTCTATACGGGCCAACGTTTATTCAGCATCACATTACAGAGTTAGGAAGAAGGTCCCGTTTTAGAGGAAACCGCAGTATCAGGAGAAAATCTGGCGAAAACGTGTGAGAGCGAGTATGGACTGGAAACCAAATGCACAGAAAGCCTGGTTAGCAAGCCTGCATCAAGAGGCACGCAGTTTTAACACAATGCACGGCAGGCCTGTACGTGATCATCTTTTTCAACGTGTTAATGCAGATACTTCAAATTTCGCGCATTGTGCCGCTCGACGACCACGTGATACTGAATAAAAAGACTACCTCGGTGAATGGGAGTTACACACAATGTGAGAATGAAGATGTTGCGTAACACTCGGCGGAACACATTTCTACCATCCTCTTAACGTTTTGGCAGGAGCTTTGGAAATGGTTACGCAAATATTTTGCAAATTAGTTTGGCCATGTAAAAGGGATGCATTGGGGCCTGGTCGATTCTTCAACGGGTGGCTTTTCTCGAACGAATGCAGGGCGGGGTAAGCCCCCGAGAATGATTAACTCTCCTGACTTGTACATAAAAAGAAAATGATTGTCTCGTCGTAAGTGTGAGAGCACCGTATGTTTTACGTAAGGTATGAAAGTTTTTTTGGCAGATAGTGAAGCGGAAAGCGCTGTAAAAGCTTAGAGCTGGGTAGTTTGTTTTAGGCCACTCGCAGTCCCGCGTCACTCCATTCATTAAAACATTCAAAAGGAAAAGAAATAAGACATCCCGAGGATAGGACTTAGTTAAGTGCATCACCTTCAATCTAACAATTTCTTAGATACAAATTGGCAGTTTACTTTTTGCCTGCAAGTTATATAGGAGAGATGCAATGCCTCGGAATTAGTCTCCTATACCCGCTCGATCGCCTGTGGGGGGGCTTTTTCCAGAGCAAATTTTCTCCAAGCTGTTGCATGTTTATTTTTTTCATTGTTTTCTTTTGTTCTCCTTTTTCCTTTGCTGGGGTACGGACAGTTGTTACGGAGGGAAGCATTTGGTTTCGACATTTACTGGACAGACGTACGTTTGTGGTTGGCCATTTTGTCTAGTCTGCAAAAAATTGTTAGAGTAATAAGGAAGACCCGGGGGAAGTGACTGCAGCCTTCTTGGAATCAAACAGCGGAAAGTGTTCCAGTATTTCATATGATTTGTTCTTCGGGGCTGTGATGAGATAGTTGCCATTGAAAGCTCCGGTAGCCTCACATATTACCATCTTTCTTTGGGGATTACCAATTTTGGATAAAAATGTGGAATCTTTTCTTATAAAAATTCCCACCCCCTCCTCTTGCGCGCACTAGGATACACAGTACGGGTGGCCTTGTTGCTGAAAGTGGAGACGATCTTATCAGTGTTGATTTCTTAGATGTTTAAATGACGGCTTCCCCACATACCAGAGAGTAGGACCTAGTGTCGTTGACATCCAAGTTCTCATTCAAAGCTTCAGTACTCGTTACATTTTGCATATTCCATCTAAGAATTTAGGATCACCCATGCAAACTTTCAGCCCAAATAATACAAGTGGCCCTACCGTGGCGATATGCTTTGTTTTTTAGGCCGGTAACTTTCATTTTTAGGATAACATGAAAATGCTACATGAAAGCAGCGTCGGAAGACAAAATAAAATTGAAATGAAAATATTCCTTTTTTACATTCACCTAATTTATGTAGGTTCTGAGGATCAAATCACTTGGTGTATGCCTACTTTTAAACGTGACGCTTGCTGAATGCCTTTTTCCTCAAGAAAACTTACTCGGTCTTTGAAAAAATTTTAAGTGTAATTATTCAATAGAAATATATCATGAGTCGAGGAAAAAGAATTGTAATTTTCATGCAGTGTCCTTTTGGGATTTCACTATTCAAGGATCGGCGCGTTCCTGATTTTTTCACAGGAAGATGCTCTTAAAATGTACTCCTGCAGTTTCTGTGGGCCAAGAAATTAATTGTGGGATTCACGGTGTAAGCATGGCACAGAATCAACACCCTAGATTCAAGGGCTCCCATCTTGGGGTGAGCAGACAAAAATGTTTTTGAAAAATCGTCAGAAGAGCCCAAAAAGTCGAGGGATTTCATTTGAAAAATGGCTGCCGACAGACTTGGGGGGAGTTAACTTTTTAGGAGTGAGTTTGTTTTGGGCGGAAAATTAAAATTTAATTTGTCAACCTACTCAAATTTGAAACAGAATAAAATCTGAAGACCCAAACAACACATTGTTTTTGTTTGAGAGGACTCAGGGACTTAGGTTAAGTGCCCGCAATGCGTAATGGGGCTCCGAACTTAGTTGATTTCACACTGTTTTCTACCGTGACGGAGCTTGAATTAGTGCAGGTTGCGCTACACCAAATGCAGGCCCATAGAAAACCGTGCAAAAACAGTCCATTTAATAGCGCCGCTTGTTGACTCTCGGGAAGAGGTTAGGCTCCGGTTTTTTTTTTCTGGAAATTCAAGATTATGGCCAGAAGATCACCATTTTCGTTTAAGTTTTATGGGTGGGCAGCCACGATTTTTTTTCTTTTTTTTTAATTCGCCTTTCCCGAAATTTTATGTCTACGGTGCAACCGTCTGCAATCAAGTTATGCGCCCTCTATCTCCCAGAGTGCCGCAGTTAGATGGGTTCAGTTTCTGTTATTTTTTTGTACATAAACCATTAGACTTGGCCAGAGTACCAGACTAGCGGCGAGGAATTCAGCGGAACTTTTCAATTTGTGAGATGCTCAGATCCGTTTATGGAGAAAAGCTACATGTAACTTGGATTTGTTCGTTGCCTTAGCCTTTCAGCGCGCAATATGGACATTCCCCCTGTCCATCACTGCTTTATGGTATGAATTGTACTGCATTTCTGCCTTGATGGTCGAAGAAGATTGATTACCTGCATTTTAGCATGGAGCTGGGGGGGGGGGGAGTTATAGCATGTTTAGGCCCCTACGGCTTGCCTAGCAATTAGCATATTCCATGGAGGAAGGAGTCATGCCTAGCCGAGCACAAACTCTGGCATGTCTAGGGCCAATTCAGATTGGGTCTAGGGACAGAAAGAGTTTCACATAGGAACGCCACATGGTCATTTACCCTAACCCCCTAGGGACCATTAAAATCCTGCATAATTGGCCTTGTTGGGTTCAGCATGGTTAGTGTTTTTTTAATTGACACCCTGTGCTATGATGCCGGTCTGAAAAGTTCCTAAATTGAATTGTCCTTGGACCTAGTTGTGGCTATTAAGTCGCTGTAGGGAAGAATTACTGGCATCCGTATATGGAACTCTTCCCCTAATGTTCGGCACTTCATCGATCGTCAGAGCCCATGACCACGTTAGTTGAGTCGTACATGTAAATGCTTAAAGACTGGTGTCCAAGCTGGACTAGGATTGGGTTGGGCATGGGCACAGTCATGACAGTAGGCATGGTTGCCCCAACCTGAGTTTAGTTTTGTTTGACTCTACATACTAGGCCTAACTACATGTAGATTAAAACTCTGACACATGGGTATGGAGCAGTCGGTTTTTAAAATTTGAATAAACCCTACCACATAGTCAAGAACCATGATATGGGGCTCCTCCTGCCGGTAGACCTCGAGGGTTCATCATCTGCCGTGCTGTCACATGGGAGCGGTCAACAAACCCCGGACTGGCCTCTGCCTACATGTGTCCCAGGGATAGGCAGGGCTCTTCAGACATTTGCCAGATCATAGGCAAATGTTAAAAACCATGACATGTAGAGTCGTAGTTTAAGGACACAAGTAATCATGGTCATTTTGTTTTGTGTGAGTTGTGACTAACTTTGCTTGGGTAACTCCAGCTGGAATGTCTAATGACAATGAAAACTGTGAAAATTCCGGATGTCATGAGCATTAAGACTGGAAGTTACCTGAGGTACATGTACCTTTTTGCTGCGGCAGTGAATGCCACCACTTTAAAACAGTTTCTGTTTTGTCCCCATTTGCAGTTGTCTGCTGAGAATGAAAAGATGATAAAAAAATTGAAGAAACTGAAAAGGCGTAATGGAGAACTGGAACTGAAGCTGCGAGATGTTAATGAGAGACTGAGCCATGAGGAGCTGCTCAGAGAGCACGCCCACTATCGAAGGTGAGCAGTGGATGCCTGTGCCCCCCCCCCAGCTCCCCCTCCCCCATTTGCAATCTGTGAATAATCTCTGTTTATGTAGCCGTGTAGCTGCAGTTCTCTCTATTCTCTTGTGGTGCCCCCTTGAAAAAAATGTGTGTGCCCCCCGGGTGCGTCCCCTCCTGGATATTTAGCCTCAGTTACACCACTGCTTGGTTGAAAAGCTGCCTCCTCTTGGCATGTTTTTCAGTGTCAGCGTACAGACTGATCCGTCAGGCTACAGACCCTACGCAAGGCACCTACATGTAAAGCCAAACACAAGAAGCAACAAGCAAGACAACACTGACGAACAAAAGAGGGCTGACAGGTGAGATTTTTCGACTTTCCTGAAATGTTCCAAAATGGGCCTTTTTGTAGGAACCCAAGGCTGTTTTCATCTGATGTTTTTGTCCAGGGGGCTTCAAATCTCATTTGAAGTCATAGTGGGTGCTTTATTTGGTCTGACAGACTTCTCCCAAACCTCGCCGATTTTGAAAGATTTGTGGAGGTAAATGGGGTTTAATTTACAAGACTTACTCAGCTTTCCAGAATCCCTGATCTATTTGTATGGTACGTGAATACTGAGAGCTTTCCAATAAACCTTTCTTCAAAACGCCTCTCTCGATATTCAGGTTACTGTCGATGCACAACAAGCTAATGAAACGCTACGAGAAAGAGTTGAAGACCAACACTACACACACAGAGACTATTGCAGCGTTAAACGTAAGCCAAACTAATCACCAATTTTATTAGGGAAACAAAGATCAGTGACCCAATTTCTTACCACGCCTTTTTGCCTAACCTCATTGACTTTTCTCTCTGGACTTTGCTGAATGTAATGGCAGACGCCATCAGCTTAGTGAGTAGCCTGCCAAATCCAACAGATGAACTGCACAACAAAGGTCTTACGATTACTCTTGAGATCAATGAAGTTCGAGGAAAATTAAACTGAACTCTGGCATACTTGCCATGGATAGGATTTACAAGCAAGACGGAAATATGGCTGCTGTAACTGGACCAAGCTTAAAGCCAAGGTTTCACCTGGGATTAAATTATCTGCCCGCCCCATCAAACTAGGTACAAACTGCTGGTCCACCCCCAGCAAAAATGCAAGCACCGATACCTCTTGGTGTCGTCCAAGGCCATGTTTGCATCGCACCCTGTGTTCTGAAAGCAAATACAAGCACTACAGCAGCAGTTTTCATTCAGTAGTCATCACGCCCACTTCACACTCTTCATGACACCAATTAAACTTCATCCATTTGATTCAGCATTCAATTTAAAGCTACTCAAAATTAGAGACTGGCCAATGGAACAAAAAAGTCCAGTGCTTGCCTTGGCAGCTGACATGCTCTCTGAGCGGCTTCTTGTGGCTCAGTCTGTCAATAACGTCTGGCAACTTCGGCTTCATTTCTGTATTTTTTGCCTTATCCCTTTCTTCATTTTTTTATTTGGGGGGGGTGTAGAATTTGAGCTGAAGCTAAAACTGCCTAACATTATTCTTGCCAGTCCTCAAAGTGGCTGGAGAGGTGACCAGATGTCTGTACCTATCCCTTCTCCCAAAATCAAAGTGTGGTTAAATTGATTTGAAAATCAACTAATCAATGTGGCCATTCAAGTTTGTCTATATGANTAAGCGATTTGGCTGATGTGTTTTGCCCTGCAATTTTCTATTTTTGGGGGGCAGCTTAGAATTCAAGATTTGGAAAATCAGCTGCATCGCTCCAGAGAGCAAGTTCATCGTTTGGAGAGGTCACTGACCCCTAATGGTCGCAGGAGGCGGGCTGGGAGCCGCTCACATAGTGCCTCGCCTTTCACAAATTCCCAAGGTCAGTGTGTGCTTTTGTATGAACATTGCTCCTTTACACCTTTGTTGTCCTGAACAGTACAGTGTGCCACTATTGAGCTGTGTAAAATTGTGAGTGTAAAATTGTGATTGTAAAATGAAGCCTGCTGGCCACATCCATGATGGTGCACAGACCCTTTGCAAATGTGAAATCAAGTACATTTGTAGTATGACTGTATGCATGTCTCCATCTGTAGACCAAACCAGTGTGTCATCAATGCCAATATGCCAAAACCAAACTGGATTTAGTAATTATAATAATAAGTGTTTAATTATGCGCTGTGTATGCGCATGTTTGCTGCAGATGAATATTGCTGCGGCTTCTTTAAAGCATCAGACGTGTAAAAAGTGCACTTATACCTTTCCTTGACCTTCCACGTTTCATTAGAGCACGTTGTTAATTTATTTGATGTTTTTTCAATAAAAATTGTTAGCTTTGTTCTATAAAATGCAAATGAAGTCCAAATGTCTGTGGCTCTGTTGTCAGAGTTCCAACGTTTGAAGAAAGAAAGAGACCAGCTGGCTAAGGACAAGAAGAGACTCAAGAAGGAGTTACAGGGGCTGGATGAGGTAACAAAACTAATTCTGACCACTAACAGAGAAAAAAACTTCAAAAGCAATAAGAAATGTCAGACCTTCCCTTGAGTAGCTTAGTAATTTTCAATAAATGGTCACTTCAAACAAACGATACTTCACTATGAAACTTCTCTGGCAAAAGGATACCTGGTTCTTTCCTGGCTTTGATTTTTTATGATATTGAGGTTGTTGAACAAATTTGGATAAGCCCACATGTAAAGCACTGGTGGGTGGTATTTTGCGATCCTGGGTCCATCATTGTCACTGGATTTCGTTTGATTTGGGATGGTAGGGGCTAAATGCAGTTATGCACAGTACAAAAAGATTCTCTACACATCATATTGTGTTTTTTTCCCAGGGCTTCTTTGATGAAATTGAGGACCTGAAATACGCCCTGCAGCAGTCGGCCAAGCTGAACAAGGAATACGAGAAGGCACTCCGACGAACCTGCAAACAGTTTGGTGTTCCGTACCCAATGAGCAGTGATGACGTCAGAGTGGCATCTCCACACACAAGAGCCAGACCGAGATGACAATCCTGATTCTAGGTTGGATTTTTGTTTAGGTAGACAGAGGGTTGACTCGGACTGTGTCTACTCACAGTATGGTGCTATTTAAGGACAAGGAATAGCTCCTTGCCTGTGCTGCCTCAATCCTGCAAAAACCTTAAGAACCCCATGGTGGATTGGTGAAAGATGTGGGTTAGGATGAAAGGACTGCAATGAATTGCATCATCTTGTTGGAAATGGAAAACATTCCCAATGAAATCCATCATCCCTTACTAATACTGCGAACTGACAAGTCTTTGATCAGGAATTTGCTAGAGCTCCTACATTGTCACACTCGGAGGATCAATTCATACCGGTCGGCGACAAATTGAATTCAGAAAAATCTGCCCGGGTGTTCTGAGCTTTGTATTTATTGTTTTCCTATGTCAGTATCAATTTTTTTTTGTATGTTTAGCCGCACACATTCAAAGCCTCGCTAAATTTGACACAGAGGAACACGTTTATCCAGGATTTTTAAGGAAAATGTTGTCTTCATTTCTAATTTTTTTATAAATAAAATGAAGAGTTGTGTATATTTACATAAAGTGGAGTTGTCTCATTTCTTAGAAATACGTGTAGAATGGAGATGTCAGATTGTTGAAGGCTGAGCCAATTGTATTGAATTCTAGACAATTACAATAATGTGTGTGCGTCCAACCGATCGTGCGTAAAACCATGATATTCCCTGAACAAATTCACATTGAAGTGGTCAGATGGAAAAAAGTTTGTTGCACTCAACTGTTATGAAATTGTTGGAATCTTTTAGTACTTGAACATTGCACTGCAGTGGTCATAAAAGCACATTTAGTAATTTTCAGAACGAAAATAAGTTTGAGGAAATAACGTATATCAGTCTATTCCTCATTCCAACAGTTATTTGAAAGACTGGAAATGGGTGTTTGGATTTAATTAGTTGCTTTTGAAAAGTCAACTTCATTCAGAAAACTGATCCTGTTCGTAACCCGTGGCATTCGATAATTGATTTCTACAAACTGCAAAGTGTGTTTATGCTCGAAAATAAAGCACGGGGAAGACGGTGAGAAGTGATCGAACACACTTTGCATAAATCTCATCTTCCTTGAAATTTGATTGGTCGCATTCTCAAGTAAAGGTTGACTCCGCTCGGTTGGCGCTTTGGGCACCGGACTTTCTTAGATTCATTGCTGAAACCATGAACTGACACCTGCTGATGGTTGAGTGAGTCTTTCGCACAAAATTCACAGAAACGAATTATTCAGAACATTTTTGTTTCCACGAAGTGAAATGTTTCTGAATTTCCAAGGTTAAACAGTTTTACGGTACAAAATTTCTAAACTCGGCAAGTAAATGGATGAAGTAAAGTCATGTGAAAGGATTTTTCTCCGTGTAAAGGTGCACTCTTTACGGGCCAGTATGTCTGAAGAACAGCTCACGTGACAGATGTTAATTTGTACAAAATAATGACAGATTCCTTCATCATAGATTGATGATCCCCTAATTGACACCTGTGTTTGGAGGTGAAGGAAATACGAAGCTCAAATCGCTTTGTTTGATCCTACAATTTCACTTGATCATTCCAAGACGGAAATTGCGATAGAAACCGCATCATTACTATTGGCGTTAATTGGCAATTTGCATCTGGTTCATTCTCCCAGCGCATAGGCCTAACTCTATGTGAATTGCCAACAGACTTCCTCCAGTGTGGAATTCACGCATTAAAATGACGTTTTCTAATCTTTGCATTTCACTACAGTGATATGAAATTTGCTGCTGAGTTCTTAGGTTTGTCATTTAAATCTAAATAGTAACTGTGCAGGAGTGTAGCGAAGGCATTTTCTGCGGGGAAGGGGCGTGCCAGAGTCAAGTTGCCGTTTTGTAACGTTGTTCACGCGCCAACCGCGTGTCATGTAAAATGGAAATCCGTGGTACGCTACATTTAGTACTTCAGGAGAAATGCCGACGGCCAATTAATGTTCATGTATTTTGGATTCAGTGAACGAAGTTGGATTCATTTACCCACCAAATCTCGATTTTGTTGACCAGAATAAATTATGGGGGGAGGACCGCGATGGCTACGACCCTTTAAGTGTAGAGGTCATCGTGTCATAGTTTTGCAGTCCGACATACGGTCCACCGTGACTTTCGTATTGAAGTCATGCAGCAAAATCATGGGAATTAACATGTGTACTTGGTGTTGCAAGTTCGTTGGTCGTGGTGGTGGTGGCGGCGGCGGCGGTGTCGATCTGCCAATGAATTTAAATATTATGGCGTCTGAAACTTCGTTTTCGCATACTTTGCCTTCTAGGTGACAATACCAGCTCACGAAGCCAAACTGATACTCTAGTTTAATGTACTCATTGTTTATGGCCAGCCTTTGTTGTTGACAATTGAGACTGCATAATAGTTATATGTAGAAATGGGCCAATTAACATGGTACTAAGCGAGAGAGACGTCCTGATCTATGTTGTGTGTTCATTTACCCCATTTGACAATGGACATTTCGCCTACTTTTGTCTATATTTGTACCTGTTTTTTTTTCAGGCTTATTTTCAGTATGTCTACGTGAAAATAAAAATACAAAAAAGGACTTACATCTGGTTGTGTTCATTTTATTGCATTTTGTTTATAAATTTGCGACTCAAATGACTAGAGCTACTTGACTCGACTCGACTTGACTCGAATACACAAAGTGACTTGACTCGACTTCTTGACCTAATGACTCGACTCGAGTCACAATGTTAAAATGACTCGACTCGACCCAATTCACTAAATTTAGTGACTTGTTAAGGTACTGCCTAACTGGCAATCAGAATTGCACCCGCTAAATCACGTGACCTAAAGCGGGTATCAACCCCATAGCAACGTGTGTTTCGAGTGTTGTTTACAAATAATACAACTAAGTTACGGTATAGTGCCCAGCGCATCAGAAGTCTGAGTACGGTACTCACCTTCGTTTGATTAAATGATACTTATGAAAACACTTCGCTTTTGGTGGACGGCGTGTTTGATGACATTCGTACCCACTTTTAGGTCACGTGATTTAGCGGGCGCAATCGGTCTATCGGTAGCCATTTTTGCCATAGCATCTCAAACATTAACTGCCAGACAGGTATTTTGGGTCTGTGAGTGGCTGCAGGACTCAGGACTCGCGCTGTGGTGGCACACTCGCTTCACATTCCTCCTTTGGATAAAGGAACGCGAGCGTGAATGCGGTGATATCGATGGACGTGTAGCGTCTCCTTAGATTATCTTTGAATTTAGAATTTTCTTTAATTAACTGTCCTAAGTAAATAGGGAAATATGACGGGAGAAAATGTCTTTCTAATTATTTTGTTGTGTTCAAAAGGTATTTGGCAACTGCTCTAAAATGCCGTACGATGTTGCCCAGATTGAAACATGTTTCAGGAAACTTCCACTAGTCTTGCACTACAACCAGTTAGGCCCTATACGACACCCTGGGGTACGTGGGCAGAGAGTTAATGCTCACCGCACAGAAGCACACGGTAGACAGCACTGCACTCGTTTTGTGCTCTTCACCCAGTTTGCTTGGACAACTAAAGACGGTTATTCTTCTATAGGCCTAATGG